TAACATAGAAAGCTACTTTAAGTGCTCTTTTAGGTCTTGGAAAGCCTGTTGACATTCCTCGTTCCACTCGAATTTCCTCCCTTTTTGTAGAGTCTTGAAGAAGGAAAGGCTTCTGTAGGCTGCTCGAGAAAGGAATCTGTTTAATGCTGCCAGAGAGCCGGTAAGTTTCTGAACTTCTTTAATCTTCTTGGGAGCTTCCATAGAGAGAATTGCCTCAACTTTCATGGGATCCACACTTATGCGATCCTTGGAGACTTGGAAGCCTAGGAACTTCTCGGAACCGACACAGAAGGTGCACTTTTTTGGATTAAGTTTCATGTTGATTTTACGCGGAATCGTGAAGATTTCTCGCATGAAGCCAGGAGTTATCCGGCTTTCGGACGAGAACAGGATTGGCTAACCATGTTGGACAGAGGACTTTTCGAAGGATGTTGGTACGTACCAGTTTAAGTGTTTCCTCGTTAATAACATCATTGCGATATCGAGCAAAGATTCTCTTTTTCTGTTGTACTGGCTTAACGTTGAGGTCCACGTTTAGCTTGTGCTCGATGATCTGTCGAGGAACTCCGGTCATATCAGATGGTGCCCAGGCAAATATGTCTCAGAATTCACGTAGCAAGGCGATCATCTCGGCTCGCAAAGTTCCATCAATAGATACTCCCAGCTGGATTGTTTTTTCTGGTTCCTTCTCGTGTAGGACTAACTCCTCCATTTTGCTGGTGAGTGGTGGTTGGTGAGGAAAGTTGAGTTCTATGGGTTGCTCTTTCTTGGATTCGACTGATAACACTCTTTGTTGAACTGAGTAGCATCCCGATGTAGTGGTGGTGACTCCAGACTTCACTGCCTTTTTTCCACTTTTGATTGCCATGAGGAGGCATTCTCGAGAACTACGTTGGCATCCTTGCACTATCCCTATCCCGTACTCCGTTGGGAATTTCATTACGAGATAGTAAGGGGACCACACAACACGGGCTTGACACATCCATGGCCATCCTAGAATCACGTTAAACAGTGAGGGTGCATCGATTATGGCAAAATCCATAGTTAGAGTTACCATTCGAGGATGCGACCCTATCATCATAGGAAGCCTGACAATTTCACCGGGGATAATCGTGTGCCCAGAGAAGCCCATTAGTGGTAATGTTGTTGGACGCCAATCTCGATTTTGTATGTTCATCTTCTTGAAACATTCTTGGTAGATAATGTCGACTACACTCCCATTATTGACGTATACACGACTAAAGTGGACATTTCCTATGATAGCCTCAATGACCATGGCATCGTTGTGCAGACAGATCCCCGAGACTACATCACTGTCGGTGAAGACTATTGCCTCGATTCCTTTGAATTGTTTATGACTAGGCTCCTGAGGAGTAGTTTTATTTACTTCTTGGACCGATGCTTTCATAGCTATTGTAGAGAGAACCTCGAGAGGCACACCGTAGATGACCCTTACATTGTGAGTGATTTACTTAGCTACATCTGGTGGAGTGACTTGTTGGATCGGTTGTGGTCCCCCATCGAGTGATTGTTGAGTAGATTGCTGTGCATTGTTCCTTGGTGGCCAATTGTTTCCGCTTGGGAAAGTTATGGGGATCCCGCGAACTTTCATCCTTTTTGTCAAGGAGCGCTCTGCACATATTGTTGGAATTTCTCAGACTTCACTCCAGCCTCGATTTCTCGCTTCAGCTCCCTGCAGTCTTCGTTGTCGTGACCATGATCCTTATGATACTCACAGTATTGATCCATGGACCTGTTGGGATTGGGAGTCAGACGCTTTGAAACAGGAAGTTCATCTTTGTGGATTTGGAGGATTTCTCGCCGGGGCTTCAGTAGTGGAGTCAATTGTCTGTCAAGCTTGGGCAATGCCGGCATAGCTTCTGTTGTAGAGTTAGGCCTATCTCGCCCACCTCGATCTCCTGCTATCGAAAAGGATTCTTGTGAGTGCTTAAGCGTTTTTTCTCGCTGGATGTAACTTTCAACTGTGGCCCACATCTCCTGCATATTTTGACAGGGTTTGGTAGACAATTTTACCCTCAGGTTGGCAGATTTCCTGAATGTGTTAAGGCCCTGGATGAATCCGTTCCGCACGTCTTTGTCATCGAGATAATCTACTTGGAGGGTTTCTCGAATGAAACGACGATAGAAATTGGAGAGGCTCTCGTTTTGACCTTGTTTGGTCGAGGAAAGGTCGATTGACATTCTCGTGATCTGCTTGCTGGGGAAGAAGCGTGTAGCCAACTTGGATGACAAGTCGAAGCTCGTAATACTCCCTTCCGGCAACTGTCCAAACCACCGTTATGCTTGTCTAGTGAGATAAGATGGAAGGGCTTTTGCCATGAAGTCGAGTGATGCATTGCTGATTCTCATGACTTAGGACGTATTCATTTAAGAATTGTTGCGGGTCAGAATCTCCCGAGTACTTTACGAAGTCCTTGGGGAAGTCAAAATCCTGAGGTTTTGGACAATCACGAATCCTAGGTACGAATGGACTTTTGTCAACAATCATTCCTATGATACACTGCATTGATTCTTGAATGGAGTGATTTTGGTTGCCATAGTCCCCCTGATGTCAAGAGACATAGGGTTCAATTTCTCGAGGGCGCTGCTCCGTCTGTCAAGGCTGAGGAGATTGCCGAGGGAGTAATGGTTATCTGGGTAGCAATTTTCGCGAGGATAGCTTGTGCCCCAAGGTGGTGCTTGATATGCATCATAATTATCATGGTAGGACTTTCCCTCGGGGATGTTCGGTCCCAAACGAGAGTGCACGTTACCTCTTGGTGGGGGATTCCAATCCTTTTTAGATACAAATTCGACGCTAGGTGAACCTTGGTGGCGTTGGTTGCGAGATTGCTTCCTGCGTCTGTATTCCTTGGCAAATTCTTCGAGCGCTATTTTGAATGCCGGACGCTCTTCCAAACGAGTCCCACTAAGCATGCCACTTGACGAAGCCTGGAATCGTAGTTCCGGTTTAGCAGTGGAACTCCGGTTAGGGTTTCTTACAAAATAGAGCCTCGGGAGTCTCCCGAGGGTAGACACTCTGATGCTCATAAGGTCGATGTTAGCGCAATATTTAGGGTAATTTATGTGTGATTTTGAGTAGTATCTATGCTAATATTGGTATTTTGTGCTTAATTTGATCATAGGAGGTGTTTTAGATAAAAAGAATGAAAAATTGTTGTTTTTGGTAGAGATTTATGCTCAAAGGCAAAAGCGAGTTGATTTAGCACATGATCACGTTGAAAAAAAAAAACTGAAAATTCCGACCAGGAACTAAAATGCAAAATTGAGAAAGTGTTGGGGCCAAAATACAAATTCTAAAAACTTAAGGACCAAACTATAATTTTGGGAAACTTGGAGGGCAGCTGCGGTTTTGGACGAATTAACTGCTTATTTCCCAAGTTTTTAGAGTTATAAATTCATATTCTTTAAGAAGGAGGCAAGCAAAGCTATTCACACTCAAAGAAGGAAGGTTTCTCATAAGAAATTATGTTCACACTCAAAAAGGCGATTCTTTCCAAGGAATTAATTTTTTTACTTGGAGGCTACTTCTATTCCTTAAATAGACTTAATGTATTGAGTCTTTTAAAGGATCTAGGTTGATTTTCTTGCTAGTTAAGAGATGAGTTGTCAAAAGAGGCAAATTTAGAAATTGTCTTGTAAAAATAAGAAAAATATATTATATCATATTTCTTCTCCTACTTATTAGGAGAGTTTTCAGCCATCCTCCCCTATAAATAGAGGAGAAAAATTCGACCAAACCAAGACCAAGAAGAGGAAGAACAGTCGGCTCAAATTTGAAGCTCCAGACGGGCAGAATTCTCTCAATTTTCTTCTCTGCTTGTTCTGTAACGTTATTCTTAAACTATTTGGTTTTTATTCTCAATATGTGTAGCAACTAAACTCTCTTTTCTAGTTGAAGGATTATTGAAGCCTTGATGTTATTTCAATTGTGAGATCTAATTGTTCCTATATCTCTACTAGTTGTGAGTATTTATTTATTCTCTTTAATTTATATTGTTGATTATTTGGCACTAGTTGAATAGCCGGTAGCGTTCAATTTTTCCTAGGTAATCAATTTATTGAACAACAAGGTTTGTCTTTTCCTAAGAATAATAATACAATTAATTGCTTGATAAGTAGTTTCATTGTATTGCAAGAATAAACAATCAACTTTTCGTTAAGCAAGATTTGTTTATTTAGAAGTTTAATTGGGTTTTTGATTGTCGAAAACAAAGTTCTAGGAGGTTCTAGAAAATATTTTAGGCTATAGAGTGGTTAATGAAGGTTTTTTAACCGCAAGTGCTTAATTAAAAAGATTGAGTTGTTAGGAGGTTCCAACAATGATAACCAATATATGCATAATTTGTTGAGTGAATCTTTGCATTGATGATCAATTGTAAACATCAAGGTGGATATTATTCCTTTAGCTAGAGCTTCTCTCATTACTGTTATTTGAAAATCATCTTTTAATTACTTGCAATTTATTTTTATTATTCACTAATTACAAATCTGAAAACAATCATCCTCGTTACCTTAGTTTTGATTAGAAATATTGTCACTTACTTGTTCCCTGAGGAGACGACCCTACTCACTGCTATACTACCAAATCTTGTTAGGAGTAGGTTATTTTATTTTTGTTGATTTGACATCGACCAAATTTTGGCACCATTGCCGGGGAGCATGGTGAAGTGATTTATTTCTTTTTAGAAGTTGTTTTTGTTTTTTGTTTTTGTTTATTTTGAATTATACAGAGATGCCACCTTTACCATGGATTCGTATGGTTATCATGATTATAACTATCAGGATTTGGATGAGGTAAGACTTTTGTCTATTGGTCAAAAACTAAAAGAATTAACCTCTCTTGTAAGTTATGTCAAGCTGATGCAAAGTTGTGAGATTTGTTCTATGAGTGGTCACACAGTAAATTTTGCCCAAATTTTCAATCCTACCCGCAAGGACAAGTGAGTAATGTAGAAGGATTTTGGGGATCACCACAAATGGGATATGAGCATAATTCATATATACCTTACCCAAGTTGGCAAGATTACCCAAATTATGACTACAACCCACCACCGTTGCCGCCACCACCACAATTGTATCAACCTCCATCGCTACTACCAGAGACAGAAATGCCTTTGGAAGAAGTGGTTCAAAGTTTAGCGACTGGTTTGCAAAGATTGGAGAAACAAGCGTCTCAGCTGGCTGTAGGCATTAGTAGACTAGAAAAAACATTTCAGATTCCAGGTGACTGAATGTACAATAGTGGTGGAAGAAGATCAAATTAATCATGTTGCACCAAAAAGGTGAAGGAGAAAGAAACGCAAGAAGGTAGAACCGAAGATTGTGATACCTCCTCCTTTTCCTGGAAGACTTAGAGGACCAATTGAAGGAGAGGTTAAGTCAGAGACTGTGGAGACTCTTTCAAAAGAGGAAGTTCCACCTGTAGAAGCCACAACTGTGCAAGATGCAAAAAACTTAGAAGATGCAGAGACAGAGGAAGCGAGTGAGAAAGAATCGTTAGAGAATTCTTTCAGAGGTCATCCTAATATTCCTTTTGTAGACAATCTTGAAGAGTTATCTCATGATGATGAGTCTATTGTGGACCTTTGCACCAACAAGATAGAACCTACACTCCAAGGTAATGAGGTTATTCTAGTGGGGAACAATATTTCCAATACGTATAATTCGAACTTTCCTCAAAAATACAAGATCTTAGGTATGTTCACTATATTTTGCAATCTTTTTATTATAGATCTTAGAAGTTGTCTTAGTAACATGCCTCATACTGCATTTAACTTGTTGAAACATGGTTCTGTACCAAAAATTGATGTGGCTAAAAAGGTTGTTGACAAGTCTTTTAAATTTTCTACTTCTATGGTAGAGAAGTCGATTGCAAGAAATGATTATCTTGTTTTGGTTGATGTTATTGATGTGAGTGATTTGAAATTAAACTATGCAAGAGAGTCAAGTCTTCTTTTCTTTGGAACGTCATTCCAGAAAACTGCTAGAATTAAGTTAACGAATTAAGTTAAATCGTTAGGTTGGGAGAATGAAAATTTACATGCTAAGGGTACTTCACGAGTTGATTTTAATGGCAGTTGTCTTTTTGAGGATGTGCTTGAAAATTCTGAAATGTTGAAACCTTCAAAAGTTGAGTTGAGACCTACACCTATGCATCTAGAGCATGCATATGGACATTTGTTTAGACCTCCTGAATTGGGATTGATAATAGATATTGGTTTAAAATTTCATAATAATGGTATAGTGAATCAAATGTTATGTACTAGAGTTTATGTGTGGAGAGTGTGATGTTTTTCAAGAATCATTTAGAGGAGATCACTTTCCACCGTCTTTTGTTGATGTGATATTTGATTGTCATTTTGAATGCTATAACCTTGACTTGCTTAAGATTTATTCAGAATATTATAAAGTTTTGATTGTGTGTGGATCTTTCAAGTTTCCACCTTGATAAACACATGCTATCTCTAGCCAAAGACACTAAAGAAAGGCGCTTGTTGGGAGGCAACCCAATAATTTACTTTTTGTTATTTGTTTAATTAAATAAATCGTTTAGGTGGTTAAGTTTTTTGTTCCTGATGCTCTGAGATCTATAATTTCTTGATTTTGTGGTTTTTCTTAACTGTTTGATCGACGTAGAGTTAGGTTGTTTTAATGGTTTGTTTGAGTATGACAGCTAGTTTTCAAGGAGTATTCTTCTACGTGGTCAATCCTGTCCAAATGCAACAACAATGGGTGCTCCCTTTTCACACCAAGTTTGATTCCTCTACTACGAATTCCCAAGGAAGTACCATTTCTTTTCTCTTTTATTATTATTTGGGAGTTTGTATGTGCTTTTATTACTTGTCTTTGCATGTTTTATACATTGAGGACAATATATGTTTTAGGTGTGGGGGAGGAGTTTGTGTGTTTAATATTGTCTTCATTAAATTGCTTACTTAAAAGAATTACAATTTTTTTTTTCAAAATGAATCTGAACCACTATTTTCAAATATTTCAACTGTTATGTTGCTAATCATTATAGGTTGAAAAGTGAAGCATGAAAAGTGTAAATGTTTCTTTGCTATGTACTACTCAGATATGTTGTGAATCTAAGTTTTGAAGTTGATGGTTGGAATAATATCACAAAAAAGTTACTTTAAATTGAGTGATCTGAGCCTTTCCGAGCAAATAGAGTTAGTGTATTTGAATGCTCAACATTTTTTATATGAGAAGTATATCATATCCAGTATGGATTAATCTTGAATTTGCTGAGTTAGGACACATATGTGCTCTTGTAAATGGCTTGCCACAAGAATAAAGGCACTAGGATTTAGCCAAGTTAACTTAAAAAGCCTACCCATTTTTGTTTACCCCTAGTGAACCATTCAAGCCTTGACCGTTTTTCTTAAGCTCCAGATATATTAAACCATTAGCCTTGTTTTTATCCTTTTACCTTTTTATCAAGCTCTGGATTAGGTTCCTTAAACTGGGTTTGTGGTGAGAGTTGGAGATTATGGTTGCACTATTCTGGTTTTTAAGTTATGCATTTGATGTAATATAGGGCATGCGAAAAAAAAGAAAAAAAAACTCGGGAAAAATACCCAAACAAAAAAAAAGAAGAAATAAAGTGGGAAAAATACCCGGCAAAAAAAAAGAGAAAAAAGAAAGAAAAGAAAAAAAATCGCACGAATCCCTATTTTCTACTTGTTTGAGAATATGGCAAGTTCTTTATTATATCTTTGAGATGCCATGGGTATGTAAATGTAATATGGAAGTTCACTACAAGTTCTTATGCAAAGCACACTTGAAGTTGAGGTGTAAGGATGAGCAATGTCATTATATGGAATGTCTGGTAAGATGGTGGAGTTTAAGTGTACTTGGTCTACCTTGACAAAAATAAGCCTACATCCATACGTATCCACCCTTTTCCTTACCTGAAGCCCCATTACAACTCTTTATAAAGACCTTTATTGGTGAGTTTATTTTCTTGTTGAGTGATGTGATGCCTTTTCAAATTCTTGTGTATTCTGCTAGATATTGATTTGTGTGAATTGTTTTAATACACTACCCTTGAGAGAAAAGAAGAAAGAAAATGAGTGAACCTACTGGTGAGGTGATTTTGTTCCAATCATTGATGAACTTTAGGGAGGAAGCAATTATCTTCTTGAGTATGCATAGTATAAGAAGAGTTTATGTTTGATTGCCTAATTGATTGAGTTTATGATCGATGTGTGACATGGTAGTTCAGATTGAGGTTTTAAAATGGTTTCCAAATATGCGGTTCTAAGTAGTTGTTATAAGTTGATTTATAAGTTATTCTTTTTAAGTTTGCTTGAGGACAAGCAAAATTTAGGTGTGGGGGAGTTGATAAGGTCGATATTACCATAATATTTAGGGTCATTTATGTGCGATTTTGAGTAGTATCTATGCTAAAAGTGGTGTATTGTGCTTAATTTGATCATAGGAGGTGTTTTGGATGAAAAGAATGAAAAAGTGTTGCTTTTGGTAGATATTTATGCTAAAGGGCAGAAGCGGAGTTGATTTAGAAAGTGATCACGTTGAAGAAAAAAAAACTGGAAATTTCGATTAGGAACTAAAATGCAAAATTGAGAAAGTTTTGGGGCCAAAATATAAATTCTACAAACTTAAGGACCAAACTGCAATTTCAGGAAACTTGGAGGGCAGCTGCGGGTTTGGACGAATTAATTGCTCATTTCCCAAGTTTTTGGAGTTATAAATTCCTATTCTTTAGGAAGTAGGCAAGCAAAGCTGTTCAGACTCAAAAAGGAATGTTTCTCATAAGAAATTGTGTTCACACTCAAAAAGACGATTCTTTCCAAAGAATTAATCTTTTACTTGGATGCTAATTCTATTCCTTAAATAGACTTAATGTATTGAGTCTTTTAAAAGGTCTAGGTTCGTTTTCTTGCTAGTTAAGAGATGAGTTGTCAAAGAAGGCAAATTTGGATGTTACCTTATAAAAATAGGAAAAATATATTATATCCTATTTCATCTCCTACTTATTAGGAGAGTTTTCAGCCATCCTCCCCTATAAATAGAGGGGAAAAATTCGACCAAACCAAGACCAAGAAGAGGAAGAACAGTCGGCGCAAATTTGAAGCTTCAGACGGGCAGAATTCTCTCAGTTTTCTTCTCTACTTGTTCTGTAACGTTATTCTTAAACTCTTTGGTTGTTATTCTCAATATGTGTAGCAACTAAACTCTCTTTTCTAGTTGAAGGATTATTGAAGCATTGATGTTATTTCAATTGTGAGATCTAATTGTTCCTATATCTCTACTAGTTGTGAGTATTTATTTATTCTTTTTTATTTGTGTTGTTAATTATTTGGCACTAGTTGAATAGCTGCTAGCATTCAATTTTTCCTAGGTAATCTAATTTATCGAACAAGGTTTGTCTGTTCCTAAGAATAACAATACAATTAATTGCTTGGTAAGTAGTTTCATTGCATTGCGAGAATAATCAACTTTTAGTTAACCAAGGTTTGTTTATTTATAAGTTTAATTGGGTCTTTGATTGTCGAAAACTAAGTTCTAGGAGGTTCCAGATAGTTTTTTTCTGCTATAGAGTGGTTAATTAAGGTTTCTTAATCACTAGTGCATAATTAAAAAGATTGAGTTGTTAGGAGGTTCCAACAATGATAACCATTATATTCATAATTTGTTGAGTCAATCTTTGCATCGATGATCAATTGTAAACATCAAGGTGGATATTATTTCTTTGGCTAGAGCTTCTCTCATTATTGTTATTCGAAAATCATCTTTTAATTACTTGCAATATATTTTTATTATTCACTAATTACAAATATGAAAACAACCATCCTCATTACTTTACTTTTGATTAGAAATATTTTCACTTACTTGTTCTCTAAGGAGACGACCCTACTCACTGCTATATTACCAAATCTTGTTAGGAGTAGGTTATTTTATTTTTGTTGGTTTGACATCCACCAGATGCTTAAGTTAGAAAATAGGGTTATGGAGTAATGTGTGTTTGATTATTAGAGCTAGAGATAACGTACCTCAAGTGTGGTGAGACCACCCCCTATTTATAGGCATGGGATTGCCTTGATGGAAGCCGGATCCCATTAGATTTCTTATTCCTAAACTGCCTATGTAAAGTCGGTTAGGCCCTAATTAGCGAATGGGCCGGTCCGGTAATTCTTAGTGGATATGGACTCGTCAAAATTAATGACTAAGAGCATCTAAAGATTGGAGTTAGAGAGGAAAAAATATTTTTCGTAATTTTTTTAATTTATAAATGAGGCACATGTGTGGAAGGATTACTATAAAGTTCACATGTGTGAACTGACAAACTCCCTTATCATATATATAGTTAGATTAGGTGAAACAGAGCCTTCCATTTTTCATAGATGCTGACGAGTCCATATCCGCCTCTTATGTTTGACCGGCCCATTCACCGAGTCCGAAATCCAACCGACCCTGTAAAGGCAGTGCAAGAATACTAAATCTAGTAAGATTCAGACATCTTCTAGGTCTATAAATAGGGATGATTACTCCATAATTGAGGTACACTATCTCTACCTCCAATAATCATACACGCACTACTCGATAACCCTATTTCTGACATAAACATCGGAGTATCTACCATCGGGAGACTCCCGAGGCCCTCTTTTGTAGGAAATCCTAATCAGAGTTTCATTGTTCAACCGGAGCTACAATTCTAGGCTTCGTCAAGTGGCACGCCCAATGGGACCCTAAAAGTAAGATTTGTTTCACAAAGCTTTCTCAAGCTTTCGAAACTTTTCTCAACCTTTCATCGCCGCTGCCAGTTAGGGTTCTCTTCCAAATAGGAATGCCATAATCTACAGACCTCAATCCAGTACAGCATCAACAGGCAGGCGGCCAAGCCCTGATGACAACAAAACCCTTGCAAAATTCCAAGAGAGGCAGAAGCAAAAAAGGAACGATCGATGGTCGAGGAAAGAAAAAACTTCCACAAGACCATCTAGTCCCAGGGATGAAAGAGTGGAAGATCCAAAAAATCATCCCAAGGGCCCTGATCCACGTAATGAGGAATAGTTGGCCGAAATTGAAGCGAAACCCAAAAAGTTGAGAGATAATAACAACCTCAATCAGAGGAAGAAAAAGTATATATTGGAGGAATACAAACGTTGTTGCTTGCTAGGTTTGCCCGATCCTACGGATCAAGAGCTATATGACATGATTGACGAGAAAGAAGTGGGCAGGACGTTGATTTTGCTCGAAAAGAAAAAAGGCAAACGCAAAGTTCCAGGTGAAGGAGAGGCAGAAGGTCGCAGAGAATCTTCCAGCCATGAGGCTTCCCATGTAGAGTTCTCTTCTACCCCTGATGCAACCTTCTGGGACTCATTCGGAAGAGTATATTCGGCATTCTATACAGCACTCGAGCAATTTGCAAAAGAGCATCGGTGCAAGAAGCAATCTCGCGACCAACACTGCCAAGGTTCGCCTAGTGTCGAGTTGTTGTCCAAAAGGAATTGGGATCCCCCATTGAGAGGCAATGTACACTCCCGCTTAGGACCCAGGGCTTTTCCGGAAAGGTCCTATCACGATCACCATGATAAATATCGAGACACAGGATATCCTCGGTACAGTCGATATACACACAGGAAGACATGTCACACTTAACGTACAAGAGGGAATTTCCATAATAACTTATAGGCCTTTATCTGTAACGTAATAATGAAGCAAAAAGATTATACAAATTTGAAACAACAAAGCAAGTACTAATATAAGTTGTTAAAGTGGTGCTTACCAAGTACACACCTACAAAATGGTACGCCTGCAAAGTGGTGATTATCAAAAAATGGAAAAAGAAAAATGCAAGAAGAAGAAGTCCATCCTAAATTATTGGTAAGGGCTTGTTGGAAAAGGCTTGTAGTTGTTGTCTTGTTGATGTTGGCATGTTGTTGATGTTGTTGGTGTTGATCATAAGATGTGTGACGAAAGAAAATCACTTAAAATAATGGACACAATTAATTCATGGAGCTTAGTTATCTATAAAAATAATTGGATGAGTGAAACAAGAATGTATGCTCATTACAACATATTATTTTAACATTTTCAATACACATTTTTACGTTCCTAGTCCAAGAAACACCTAAACACATACATACACACACAAACACACACACACACAGACACATTAAAAACAATCAAGACATACCCTTAATCTCGTCACTCAATTTGAAGAACTTGAAATCATGTCGGCTCACTTAAGAATCATCCTCTCCGTTCTTGTTCTTTATTTTTTGTTGCTCAATAACGATTGGGCAGAACTACAAGCCTTTCGAGATGGGTAAGGCTACGCTCCAATGGCCTAATTTTGTATGTGCAGTTCAGAGTTCACCATGTCCTAGACTCACTGTTTTCCAAAACAAATTTATGCTACAAGGGATGTGGCCAAGTAACTACACCACCCGGATAGAGTATTGTGATCGCAACGATCCTCACAATAAACTGGTAAGTGGCTGATTTTTTGTTTCAATTATTATTTTTTCTTTTTTTTTTAAGTCGCACTGGACGTGCATTTCATTAAAATTACAAATTTACAAATACAGATGCTACAGCCCTACTAGTTAGGGCATGAGCCTCGGAAACCATTACCTGACTAACATATTCAAAAGTAACATTTTTACACAATAACATAGTGACTCTAATATCTTGAACTATAGAGCGAATCTCGTGAGGAATATCAAGAGAATATAAGTCCTCACTTTTCAAGCTTTGCTTCTTCTTTTTTTTTTTAATCTTTTTGTCGGTCTCCTTTTTAAAGGATATTGTTATTGTTTCTTTCGCCGCTTTTCTTCTTTTATCCTTTGATCGATCTTATTACTATTTGGTTCTTTGAATCTGTAGAAATAATGTAGATGAAAGAATATTACAAAATTAAAGACATTTACCAAAAAGAATAAGGCCACTAGCCTGAAGTTATCCTAAATTATTTCTTAGGAAAAAAAATATTTAGTCGTAATTTGGAAAATCTTTTTTTTGTGGAAGAATAGATATGTTATACGTGCAAATAATTACAAATTTCTTAAAGTGGTGCTTACCAAGTACACACCTGCAAAATGGATGCATATATCAATATATAGAAAAAGAAAAATTCAAGAAATCCATCCTAGCTTGTTGGTGTAGGCTTGTTGGAAAAAGATTTGTAGATGTTGATGTTGTTGGTTTTGATCATAAGATGTGTGATGAAAGAAAATCACTAAAAATAATGGACACAATTAATTCATTGGGCTTAGTTATCTATAAAATAAAGTGGACGAGTGAAACAAGATGTAGCACATTACACACACTCAATCTCCATGATGGCTTATGTAAGAGTCATCCTCACGGTGCTTGTTGTGTTCTGTTATTGCAAAAAAGCAATTGGGGAGATGCCTTTTGAGATGTTTAAAGTAGCGCTGCAGTGGCCTAATTAGGTTTGCAAAGGCAGGACATGTCCTAGACTCCTCAATTACCAAAGCAGATTTACTTTCCATGGGTCTTGACCAAGTAACCACACCACCCTGATAGATAATTGTGTTGGGGAATCTTATTATAAATTGGTTAGTGGCTAATTTTTGTTTCAGTAATTATTTCTTGCTTAGTTCTCATGCATACGTGCCAATGTTGTAGGGACAATCTGATGCCACGCAAAGGGACCTGTTCTGGGCTGATGTAATGCGAGATCTTGGGGACTATTTTCAAACAGGCGTTCTGGAAACACGAATGGTTAACACACGGCAGATGTGCCCTGATTAAGTGCACTCAACATGCTTATTTTAACTTAGCAAGAAAGCTTGCCAACAAGTGGGAAGTCCTCCAAATGCTGAGAAATGACGGTATCACCCCAAACCCAAACGCGTGGCACGCTTTTACTACTGTAAATACTATTATTTCTAATTAGCTTGGGGCAGTTCCAGACATCGAGTGTACCTGCCCACCCTGTTGTGCGATAAAAGTGGTCCTCATCTGCTGCAACACGGACGGGCTAAACGCAATGAACTGCCTTGAGCGGGAAACCTACAAGGGAACTACTTTCCTCCGTTTCGATGGGTGTGTTGATCAATGTGGTGGAAATGTACGACTAGGCTAGAAAATCAAACAAAAATATTCAATAAATAATAGATAATTTATTTATTTATATTTTCTTGATTAGATATAGGTGCGAATAACTTTCATAATAAAAAAAGTCCAAACTATTTTAAAGAAGCTTAGCATTGATAGTGTATCCTCAGCTGAAAAATAATTAAATAGAGAAACACTCTGGAATCCTCTTTGCATTGATAGTGTAGCTTTGGTAGAATGAATACTACATTAAAAACATTCTTTAGATGGTCTTATTCTAGCTAGTTTTATGCTACTAGATACAAAAAGATATGAAGGCCATCCTGAACAAAACTAATTAATTTGCAATTAGGATGAGTGTGATAAGCTAGCGCCCTATATTTAAATTTCAAGTTGACTTCAGATGAATTTTCCAAAATAAATTCTATCCCTACCAAATCACAACCAAAACCAAGATTATTGCTCATCATACCCTACATTTGGATCCATTGGCAAAGTCGGAATTTGTTTTGCTATTTCATTTCACCAAGAAATTTCACTATTTGTAGCATTGCATTATATATTTAGTGGCGATCGAAGTTGTTTTCCTTTGATTTTCAATAAGAGTATTATTTTTCCTTTTTTTTAAGCTGCACTAGACGTGCATTTCATTAAGATTATAGCGTTACAAATATAGATGCTACAACCCTACTTGTTAGGGCATGAGCCTCGGAAACCATTACCCAACTAACATATTCAAAAGTAACATTTCTACACAATAACCTAGGGACTTTCATAACTTGAACTATAGAGCAAATCTCATGATGAATGTCAAGAGAATAACGGTCCTCACTTTGGTTCTTTTTTTTTTCTTTTTAGCGGTCTCCTTTTTTCAGGATATTGTTATTGTTCCTTTCGCGACTTGTCCTTTTTTGTCCTTTCAGCGATCTTATCGTTGTTTGGTTCTTTGAATCTATAGAAATAATGTAAATGAATTAGGAGTTTTTTTTGTTCTCAATTATTTTCTTTTTCATTAACTTGAAAAACCTAAGAAGTACCAAGAATCTTACAATAGTAAAGATATTTACAAAAAAGAATAAGGCCACCAGCCTGCAGTATCCTAAAATTATTTCTTAGGAAAAAATATTTAGGCTCCGTTTGATAAAACTTAATTTAGGTCTGAAGTCTGAAATCTGAAGACTGATTCATAAGTACTGAACTGATTAAGTTTCTCGTGTTTGATAAAAATTAAAATCTGAAGACTGAATAAAATGTCTGAAATCTGAAGTCTGAACACAGAAATTTAAAGTATCTCGACTTATGATTTTATCTAAAAAAACAATTGATGTATATGAAACTATGATAATAAAAGTAATAATATTATTATAAAATAATTTAATAAAAAGATTTAAATTTTATTATGTTATTATTTTTCCAGTTAATAATAATGTCCTATTTCATCATTGTCAAAAAAATATATTTTAATATTTTATGGTAAATATATATTGATCATGGAATTTAATGGATTTTAATTTTTATATAAAAATAATTATTTATTAAATAAAAAATAATTTACAAAATTTTTTATTTAGAACTAGACGTCATCATTAAAAAAAATATTTCAAGATAAAATATCAAAAGCATAAACATAAAAATAAATAAATAGAAAAAAATCGTCTCAAGAATTCAGTTCAGACATAAGTGATAGGCCTATCACTTATTTTTAGGCTCACATTTGTACTAGCGTTTCAGACACACTTAATTTATTAAGACATCCTACTTTGAGTTATCAAATGCACTTAAAATTTAAGTCCTTAATAAATTAAGTTCTTAATCAATTAAGTTATGATATTGTGTTATCAAACACTGCTAATCGATTAAGTACTTAATTAATAATTTTAAGTGCTTAATTGGTTTATCAAACAAGGCCTTAGTCATAACTTGGATAATATTTAGTTGAAGAATGGATATGTCATACGTGCACAATATTTAAAAATATGTTAAAGTGGTTCTTACCAAGTATACACCTGCAAAATGGATACGCCTGCAAGGAAACTACTTTCCTCCTTTCCGATGTGCGTGTTTATCAATGTGGTGTAAATGTAAGACTGCCCTAGAAAAGCAAACAAAAATATTCAATAAATAATAAATAAATTTTATTTATGTTTGCTTGATTAGATATAGGTGCAAATAACTTTCATAATAAAATAAGTCCAAACTGTTTTTAGGAAGCTTAGCATTGATAGTGTATCCTCAGCTGAAAACTGATTAAACAGAGACACACTCCGGAATCCTCTTTGCATTGATAGTGTAGCTTCGACAGAATGAATACTACATGAAAAACATTGTTTAGATGGCCTTATTCTAGTTATTTTTATGCAACTAGATACAAAAAGATATGAAGGCCATCTTGAACAAAACTAATTAATCTGCAATTAGATGAGTGTGATAAGCTAGCGCCCCACATTTTAAATTTCAAGTTGATTCTAGATGAATTTTCGAAAAAATATTCTAGCCCTACCAAATCACAACCAAAACAAACTTGTAGTTTGTTGACTTGTGTGTCTAAGTTATAGTTTTCTTGATCTGTGTCCAAGTCTTAGGGAGTGTACAAGGTAGGATGATGTCGGTTGTTGATATGTAGTTCGTATTAGGTACCATTTGTAAGTCTCGTTCTCGTTTAAAGAAGATAATGGATTGCAAGTTGAATGTATTTTTGCCATTTAGTGGATGATCTTAATGGAATGTATGTTGCCAAATTTGTTCTCGTTGTGGCATTTTTTCTTGGTCATTTCGTACTTAAAATGTTATTCAACGTTATTATGCCAAAACAATTGCAAATGTAAACCTTCTTAGATGTAAAGAAGTTAATGAGAAGAGCATAATTTAAGATGTCGCATATACACCGACTTCATTGCCGCATATAGAAGTTATGCACGTTGAGAAGTCTTATATCAACAAAATAGTAGGATGCATACATAAAGAGACCAGAAGAGATTTCCTTCTGTTTCATCATCACATCCCACAAAGACGTCTCATAGACAGTCTAGAACCGACAATAACAACATAACATCCTTAATTCTTGCTTTACATAATAAAGTCTACTACCAAGTTAACATCCAACTACATGATTGACACATACTACCAAAAGAAGACAACTAGCTTAAACTCTGAGCTGTTACTTTTCAGTCTTCAAGTACTTCAACATGGGTTTTGGCTTACCAATATCTTTCAATTTGACATGAGGACCATACATTTCATACATCTCAGTGGTTGTTGCAATAAGTTTAGCAGCCATATATGCTGAGGGTTTGGCCTGAGTAGAATCTATACTGAACATATCATCTGTTGAGGAAGGAGGGAGTTTCAATCCATAGATCTCATATTTCTCATTGGTTCTTATAATAGCTTTAGTTGTCTGTTCAGCAATGCTGTCACAGACAGCTTGTGAGGCCCAATCAATCTCACCATCTGGTTTATGCATCTGTGCGGCCATCTTTGACTGAATAGTCACCTTCTTGACATTCTTCAACTGAGCTATCTTATATGAATAACTGATCTTGTATTGCTGGGGTACAACATCACCGAAAATTTCCTGAAACTTGGTGTTGTTGATCTGTGAGTTTGTACCAGCAGAGAGCTCAACAGAAACAACCTTTGTAGATTTTTTCTTCTTGTTGCTTGTCACATTACTGATTTGTGGCTGGTATAGTTCCAGCTAAGTATCCTCAATTGGCTCATCAATAAACTGAAAGCTGGATTTAGTCTGTTGATTTCCTTTCTGTTTTTTCTTCATGGTTTTATTACCTCCCTTGGCCTGATTGAATAATTATAAATATAAGCAATGAAGCAACCCTAAAATACATATAAGCAATTACTAATGAAGTATAGCAACTTTTTAGAATGTTTTCATCCACAGAAATACCTGATTAGGTTGGACAACACTGATTGTCCTACCCCGTAGTTGCTTCACTTGAAATACAGGATCATCTAAGAACATGAAATCTAGCTCTTCATTTTCAGGCCCCTTTTCATCACTTTGGGTATGAGAAAGACATTAACATGAAAAAAAAAATAATTAATTCAGGCAAACAAAGAACTTGGCAATTCAACAAAACTTTAAAGAAGTTCAGATTAACCTGTTGCTTTCCCTTTGTAATCTCCTTTTTCATCTGGACATTTTTGGAAAATTTAATAGGATGAGATAAACTCTAAAATAAACAAGCAGGGGAAATTAGAGATCACAAAGTAAAATCCAACATCTTATTATCGAAAATAGTAAAATGCAACACCTAAAACACATCAAGATTAACCTTTTGTTTTCCCTTTCTATTCTCCTTGATAATCTGGACTTTTTTGGAAATTTTTATGGGCTGAGATAGAATCTAAAATAAAGAAGAAGGGAAAATTACAAATTATAAAGCAAAATTTGAACTCTGAAGTAATCCTAAACAATAAAATACAACACTTAAACACAACAATGGAATTTAACCTTTTGTTTTCCCTTCACCTTCTCCTTTTTAATGTTGACATTTTTTTAAACTTCTATGGGTTCAGGTTGGCTCTAAAAATAACCAACAAGGAAAAATTTTAGATTATTTTTTTGATGGCATATTTAAGAACCATGTAAGGCATGGGGAAAAAAAATTGAATTTACTTACAGCTGTTGGTGTTTTCCTAGAGCTTCTATGCAGTGTTTTTGTTTTCACCTTTGGGTATAAGACCATCTAATTCAGACTGCTGCCCGTTTTCATCCTTTCACAATATGATGAAACAAATTATGATGTGTTTATAGAGAGGGACATATCAAAATTTTAATACATAATGGTAACTTACACTTACATGTACCATTTTTTGTTTTTTCTTTAACTTTTGTATTTTCCTCATTGCTTCAGCTTCAATGGACCTTATTTCCCGAGAAAATCGGGACAACCCTAAAATTTAAACTGCTGTATAGATTACACTTAGATCACAATAAGAAACACAGTCCATAGGCCGTAAGCTTATTGCAACAATGTTTTCATGAAGACCAGTCTCTTCACAGTTGGACTCATCAGGGTCAACAAGCTTCCTCTTTAGTTGTTTACACAAAATACATGTTAGCGTTTAGGACTTACAGACAATGCTATAAATCATTCAAATTAATGCACACTTACAATAGATGAGACAGTGTTTGCAGTAAGGTTTACGGTATCAAAAAGGTCATCAGCATTGCTGCCAAGGTCTACAACCCCCTCTGCTGGCTCAATGAAAGGGCACTTCCTCTGGTTGTGATCTGTGACTCCACAGGAACCACACTTGTTTCCAACCTCACTTGTGCTGGGCCTATCAGTTGGTTCACTTTGTGTCCCTTGTGAGGCTGTCCTTGAAGGAAACTTTCTCCTACCTGTAATTTTACAGAGAGCACAAGTATCTTTCTGTCCAACCCTACTAAGCTTCAGTTTTCCATCAACCTCAACCAGTCTTTCAACATAAATTTTTTTTTCCTTTTGTTACTCTTTGGCCTCCCTGCAGTGTTGGAACCAGCTTATGATACTTGGGGGGGAGGGGAGGGAGGGCAGGGGCTTGCTGTCCGTTAGATTTTTAGGAATTTTTCAACAATATTGGTTGTATCATTAAATTTATTGAGCAAATTTTATATTTTCTTATGTTGTATTTCACATTAGTAGGTGTAAAATCCAGAATTTTAAATAAAGAAGGACCTACCACTCATTTGGTGTGTGTGTGATTATAATTTTGAATTTATATTGAATTGTAAAAAAATAATATTTATTTTATAACTAAGTTCTTATTTTCCTAAATGCACAAATACTCAGTGTTGGGATCATACTCATATAATATTTTGAATAATTAAGGGCCAGAATTTCTAACACAAAGGGAAAGAGAAGCAATTTTAAGTGGTATGGGGTAATATTTACATATTTACAATATTTAAAAAGTTTAGGATCAATACTAAAATTTAAAAAGTTGTTAAAAAAAAAATCTAGCCATCATCTTCTCCCCCCATTCCTTCGTTGCAACTCTCTTCCCGCCGGTAACTTCAAATTTCAAAAATAAAACCCCAAAATTTTAAAATAGAACACTCAACCTCAAAGAGTGTTGGCATTATCTCTTTCTAAAGCCCCCACACACTCACGTTCAAGGGGGCTGAGGGAAGGAAAGAAACCTCCGAGGGTTTCCGGCCAAAGGCAAACTTGGCCTTCTCCGGCCGGTCAGGGGGGCTCGATAACTCCGGCAAATGATGTAGATACTTTATGTTTCTCAGACCTTTCTACACCACCACTATCATCGACTGTGTATTCATAGTCATTTTCAGATTCTTCCTGATCATATTCTGAATTCTTTTCATCCCAATCTCCATCACTGCTATCACTATCACTTTCACTTGCAGCATCTTCACCAGCTGTATCATCAACTACATCATCAACTGGATAGTCATATAGTATTAGTAACCTGTCACCAGCCAGAGCATCTCTACACCAACTCTTGCAGTTTTGTGTTAGTGTTAATCTCCTGGAGATTACCCTCTTCAACCCCCTCATTAATAGAGAAAAACTTAGCCCCCCCTCCCCCCCTCCCTGCCGTTGTTCCCAGATGCAGCATCACACATTCTCCGTAGATGAGCAAGTAGCAGGGCATTACATTCAACATAGTTGTAAACTATTGTCTCTCCGTAGTTGGTGCTCCTTTATGCACTTGACAATAAAAACAACAACATTAGGACCCTATTTGATATATATTGTTTACTTGAAAACAATACAACTTGACTTTAATAATACTGAAGAAGATGAATGAATGGTTGGATTTGTAGCATTGACTTGTTGACCTTTAGATCCATTGGAAGCATTCATTCACTCCATTATTGCTCTGATTGTGGTCTCGTTGTTTACTTGTTCTCAGGCAAGTTGTGTCCATTTCTCTGCTGGAAATTCAAATCACCTTTTTAGGGTATGTTTGTTTCGTTTTTTTAATGTGTGTTTTTAGGTGTTTTTTGTATTAGGAATATAAAAAGATATATTAGAAATGTAAAAAAATATACTGGTATGAGACAGTTATTATTTTATTAATCTAAAAAAACCATCAAAAAACTAAACAAACCAGCTTTTTCAGCATTGCTTTCGCATTAACTTCAACCATAATTGTTTGAGTTTGTCCTTTCTTGAAGATGAACATGAAATCCTCCTCATTTTTTCGGAGTAATTACCCAACAGAAGTTCTTGTGCACCCAAGAAAAGGGGCTTGATGGTCTCAATTTTCCAGTTTTCTAGTTTTCAAGGACGGAATTTGATACAGAAAACAACGGCGTATTGTTTACGTTTCGATTCAATTGAAAATAATTGAGGTACCTGTGTAACCGGTTCTCAACGATTCAATTAGCAAACATCACTAGGAATGCGAACTTATTATGTAGCGTCTATATCATTGATCGGATTTTTAGCGAGCATGAAAGCAAATTTGTTAAAGGAAACCATTCCAGTTTGTTCACTGATAGAGCCTTTGAAGCAAAATTTGGCTGCCCAAGTTTGCATAATGTCCCCTGATCTTATTCCCAGAAACCGAAAGTTTTAGTCACTGTTATTCGACTACTGTTATTTTGACTTTTGATGATCTACTTCTGTCCACAATATTTGATATTTCCATCCCTTCAAAATATCTTTGCAACCTGAGTGTCATGCCGACCCCAACCATCAGCATGCATTTACAAAGTTCGAATCTTTTGACATACAAAACAGAATACGGCATCTGTGATCAAAGGAAAAGATTATGGAAGCCATTAGAACTTATTCTACTGCATTTTTTCATGCTTTTGGAGCAAAATTCGACAGCCCAATTTTGCACAATGCATTAAACTATCAGCAATTCTCTTTGAAACTCCCCTCATTTCCTTCCCACAAACCAAAATTCACCCTTTTTTCAGCAGCTGCTGCATCTGATTCACCAGTGCTAACTTATAACAATGAATCCAGAGACGACTCCTCATTTGATCAAGAATTTACTGATGAGACCAAACTGATACAAGATGAGAAATTTGATTGGTATTCTCATTGGTACCCGGTGATGCCTGTTTGTGATCTTGACAAGAGGAGACCCCATGGAAAGAAAGTGATTGGAATCGACATCGTGGCGTGGTGGGACAGGAACGAGAATGAGTGGAAGGTGTTTGATGATAGGTGTCCTCATAGGTTGGCTCCTTTATCAGAAGGGAGGATTGATCAATGGGGCCGGCTTCAGTGTGTTTATCATGGCTGGTGCTTTGGTGGTTCTGGTGACTGCAAGCTCATTCCACAAGCTCCTCGGGATGGTCCTCCGGTGAGCTCTTGAGTTTCCTCGCCATTTTATTTCATGATGATAGTAATCTCTGTTAGAAGTGAAAAATTCATGTGAAACTTGTTTGCAGATTCATACTTCCAGCAAAGCTTGTGCCACTGTATACCCAAGTTGTGTCCAGAATGGCGTACTTTGGTTTTGGCCTAACACTGATGAGCAATACAAAGATATTTTCACTAGAGAAAAGCCACCATTCATAGAGGAATTGGATGATCCATCTTTTTCTTGTCGGATGATTACAAGGGATATACAATATGGGTAAGGGATCTTTCGTTCTTTCTTCCAGGCTAAATTTTGATCTGTGCTATCATCATTGCCAATCTGATCATCATACAAGAAATGTTGCCCTATTATCATGTGACAGGCATTTTGTATACCAAAATGGAAAAATTAGGGATTTAGTCTCAAACTCTGACGAAACATCACATTTTTATCTCAGATTCTAACATTTGGAAAATTTATTCCCAAACTTGAAACATTTGCTTTGATTTAGTCCCATGGCAAAAGCAACTCCATTATAGACTTCACTTTTTTCTGTTTGCTTGATTGCACACTTAGAATAATTTTCTGTTCACTTCATTGCACACTTAAATGGATAAATATAACCTTAAGGCAGGAGGTTCTTGATCACGTCCCGAAGCCCTTTATTTGGAAACACTGCAGCTCAGTTTGTAGCATAAGACGTAGAAAACTAAAAGTCACTGATGCATGAAAATGTTACTGCATAATGGTGACTATTAATCCAATAAACCAGCAATGACTGGATCACCGCTGAACAGACTGTGTCTGATGAAGGAAACCAACAATTCAGGATTTTTATTTTTTTTGTTGGATGGATTACTCTAAAGTAGTATGTCTCGTACATGTGTCAGGTATGAGGTGCTCATAGAAAACCTTATGGATCCTTCACACGTTCCATATTCACATTATGGTATATTTAAATTCCCAGAGCCGCCCAAAAGATAAGTGCTTGCCTGAATTCTAACTATTTACTTCCTGTGTCCTAAAAGAAATAGTCCATTTTGTTGAACTACAAATAGTATGACAATGTGGACTATTTTCCTCAGACAGAGGGAGTACTATTTAAGACTGTTTTTTTATCTTTTGCATTTAGATGCTACAAAATGGCCAACACTGTATAGTTGTTTCCTGCACTGTGAAGGCAGACAGAGAAGGAGGAGTGCCACTTGACATAAGTTTAAAAACTTTTGGTAAAGATGGTTTCAGTACAAAAACGCCGACAGGTTTATCAAACAGATTTATTCCGCCTTGTGTCTACTATGGTTCTGACTTTTTTTCCTCGGTTGGAGCAAATCCAGATAATCAATCTGCTAGAACAACAGAGGTGATCGTTTATAAATGTCGCTTGATCTTTTCGAATTAAAATTTCCACTTCTTCTTTTTCCTTCTTTTTTCAATGGAGTACTTAACGTTGCATTTTATTTTACATGAAGAATCCATCTACAACAACAGCACCTGCAACAAAGAGGTTACTGCTGGTGTTCATATGCATCCCAGTCAGTCCTGGTAATAGCAGATTAATATTTGTCTCAACAAGGAATTTTGATGTCTGGATAGATCGTTTGGTCCCACGTTGGATAATTCATCTAGGCATCAATTTAATTTTGGATTCAGATTTATATCTTCTCCATGTACAGGTAATTGATAATTCCTGGATAGTTTTCCACTCTTTTGAACATTATTTATACTTGATTCACCAGTAATTTATTAATCCAATTCTCCACCTGCACGACTAGAAGCTAGTTAGCTTTTATGTGTGCACGGCTTTATGGATCACTTGTTGCCATCATGCTCCACAAGGACACTGTGTATATATAAATATCGCCAGGGTATTCACTTTTTTCTTTTTTTTTTTTCCAGGAACAGAAGATCCACGAAGTTGGATCCATCAATTGGAATAAAGCTTGCTTTGTTCCTACAAAGGCAGATGTGATTTTGGTTGCCTTTAGAAGATGGTTAATTAAATATAGTAATGGCCAAGTTAACTGGAGAGGAAAGTACAGTGGTGGAGCTCTCCCACCAACTCCCCCTGTGGAGCAGCTCATGGACAGGTTAAATATGCTTATCTAGTCTTTGTGATTTCTGTTTAATCTGAGTTCTTGTCACCTACGACTGCAGTTAACTTTCTGGTTTAAAGGTAGGGAAACGTACCATCTACAAAAATTGTTCATTGATTCTTGTTTTCTTGAATTTCGTATCTACAAAAATCTATTCATTATAAGGAGTATGCTTCAGAAAAACCATTGACAAATTCTTTCGTTAGGTACTGGAGTCATACAGTGATCTGCAGAAGCTGCAACCTAGCCTATAAAGTACTCCAATTGCTAGAGATCATATTGCAGGTTGTCTCTATTGGTTCAATTGGAATCGTTGCTGCTGTTAAGCCTTCCGCTTCATTGCCAGTTACTGCAAAATACACTCTGGTTTCAACAGCTATTCTTTTGTTTGTGGCTTCCAAGTGGTTGTCTCGCTTCATATACAAAAACTTCCATTTCCATGACTATGAACATGCTTTTCGCTAGTGGAGATAAGCTAAAACTCAAATGCTGGTTGATGCTTATGTATATCTAAATATCATTATGGAGAAGTGCCGGTTGATGCTTATGTATAAATCATTATGAAAAAATTCAGAATGGTAACTTTCTGCTGATCATGAGAGCACCCTTGAAGTGGTGAGAAATAATTCCATGACAGTTACTTTGACAGGCAAAAGACTATGAACTGAAATTTTCCTGAAAATCAAATACCACATGAAGAGTGTAATTTTATTATTGAAACTAATCAGGACAGTTTTAAGAAGGATGAAAAAATATGGAAATTCACGTCTATTTAAGGAAAAGCTTTTCCCTCTGTATTAAATAATCTGAGTTCGCAGAGGCTGATGTTCTTGCAATATACAAGAGGGTAAGAAGCGAAAAACCATAAGCCTTTGTACAATGTGAAAAGAAACAACAAAGAACAGGGCAAAGAAAGGCTTCTGTGAAACCAGAAAATATGCGGCAATAAGACCCCCAGGCGGCAATCGGGAGCATTCAGAATTTAGCTGAGTGGAGTTTCCTTCATTACTTGAGATTTCTTCTTTGGGATGGGACTCCATTTCCCGTCTCAATCCTCACTTGAGGAACATGTGAGATTTACTGCCCACAATTCCAGTTCCTGATGATGGATTAAGTTTTCAATGCCAAGTCGTAACTTTTCTAGAATTGGAAGCTCAATAATATATACTTTATTGATACCAGGCATTGCACCTTTCTCAATTTCCACCCATCTCAAATGTTTGAAACTTTTCAAGACCAATATCCGGAGCTTTAGAAAACATCCAGCCTTGAAACATAGACTTTCTCCTTTGTAAGCTTCAATAAGTCTAACTTCAAATATGTTGGGTAAATGTTGAAAAGCTTCCAGCCGATCATCCCTTAAAGCAGCAAAACTTAATCTTATTCTTTCTAACCCTTGAAGATTTTTTATCCATTGTGGAACATTTTCTAAACGGCCGAACAATGCAAGCCTGCGAAAGGAATGAAGCGATCAGGCGGAAATAGGATGATTGAGATCCAATGTAATTACCTCGCCTTTTTCCCATGAAGAAGCTACATCTAATTCCTGCAGATTGGTGAGCTTCTCAAGTGAAGAGCAGAATTCCTGTCCATCTTCCCTTCTCAGGTTTACAATGGATAACTGTCTTAATTTTGTTAGTTTTCTGAGCCCAATGACTACTCTGGTCTTATTGCTATTTTCCACATTTATGGTGGACAATTTTTCTAACTCGGGAAGCTCTCCGATTGCACTTAAAGCTCTGAATTCATCATTCGGAAAACCTCCAAATGAAGTGTCAGTTGCGCGGTGACATATCCAAAGATAACGAAGCTTGCGAAGCTTTTGAATTTCCACGGGTATTTCCTTTACATTAGTTTCCAACAGACTTACACTCGAGACTTTTGAGCCTTTTGATGGATTTAGGTACTGCTTCTATCTTCTTCCCACCGATGCCTAAATGCTTAAGGTGGAATAATTTGAAAATCTCTGGCTGACGGTTCCAAATAGTACGGCCCGCAACTAGGCCGGCCCAAGTTCGGTAAAAGGTCTAACCGACTTTTGGAAGTTTCTAAGTCGGTTCTTAATTACTTTCCTACTAAGATAGGTTTCATAACTTAGGTCTATAAATAGGGATCAAACCCCTCGCATCAAAGATACGCTTTACGCACCACAATTCATACCATATTACAACACTCTTACTGACTTAAGCATCAGAGTGTCTCGTAAGACTTAAGCATCAGAGTGTCTACCCTCGAGAGACTCTGACGCCCTCTTTTGCAAGTTTTAGAGTTTTGACTTCGCCATGGTCGCCGGTTCAACCAATCAGAGATGTTGGTACAGATTCATGCTTCGTCAAGTGGCACGCCCGGTGGGACCCGACTAGAGTTTTCAGTTCCCCAATTTTTTTTTGAGAAGGTGTAGGTACGGATCGCCCGTCTCCTCCTAATCGTGTGAAAAACTCCATCGGCGAAAATCGGTCAGATTGCTCTATCTATTTACATACTATTTTGATACATCTCAATCGGGTCTCCCGATTAGTACTCCATGTACTAGTATTGACTTGATTTCTGCTTATCAAACAAAGTCATGTATTTGCTATTGCTTTACATGCATGCCTAAATACCAATGCCCTAGATTTGGGAGTTTGATGACACGTAAAAACAATATTTGTGGCACGCTTCATATTTTTGGATGGATATATTATTTGGCCCGATGTGGTTTTGTATTATTTGGATGCATTCCTTCTTCCTATGACCTGATGCATGATTGGCATATTTTCATTTAATGCCACGATTAATAAAGTGGTTTTCACAATTGAACAATTTTGATATGATTAAGTTTCTTTCTAACTTGCATGCTGGACGCATTGCCTCGGATTTGATCTTGGAAATTCGATGCCGAGCTAATAATTTTTGTTAATCAATCAAAGAACTTCGATACTAGCATGAATCCTTTTGGATTAAAAGGTGGCTCTTTGTCTTTTATTTTTGGGGGTGAACAAGGTAGGCCATATACTTCTGACTAAAGTGACTTCATATTATCTCTCCAAGGTTTATGTCTTTCTTTTGTTGAATATTACCACGAATATTTGTTAATACATAAGATAGAAAACTCTTGAGGAGTAGCTTGGTCGAGGACCATGTTGGTCAATTAATTCAGAGTTACACATAATTTCTAATCCTTTTTTGAAGTTCAAGCTAGCTTTAGGCTTCAATTCTCTGAACGAATATCTCTCCTCGACATTTATCAAATACCAGTTCAGCCAAATCATGAACATGAGATTAAGGTTTGCTTTTATTAAAATTCGCCCCTACGCAGGTGCTCAAGATTTACTCCTGTATTGCTTAATATGTGACTTTGTATACTTTATGAAAGTGGCATTATTAACACCAACTAGTTTATGATGTGGTAATCCACTTGTTTTTATAATTATTTATTATGCAAAGGAAATCGAGATTACTAGTCTTCGCTTGCTCACCATAACTAATGCTCGAGAAATTACCTACACATGTATTATTTATATAGTGCTGACTTTGTATGTTTTATGAAGGTACCATCACTCTATAATAAAATTTAGGATTTACGTTATCCTCCTTTTAACTTATGGTACTAATCCTTTTTATGAGTTGAGTATTTCAATATATACTTTTTGCACCAACACAAAAACTTACCATGAATAAGCCTCGACAGGGCACGGTCACTTAGTGTAATACAAGGATGAAGCACTTCTCAGAAGTCGCACACTCTCCAATACCAAGAGACGATCCCATGGCCAAGTAGAGAGCGTGTGGATCAACTCAGACATATTACTTATATTTCTCGGAAACCACTTTGAATCCATTTTTAGCTAATAATCTTAGCTTATTTGGACCAAAAACAGATAAGTGGTTTCAAACCTTTTTGCGCAACTTTATTATGTTCCTAGCTGAACTTTTACACAAAATTTACCTATACTCGTGCACCTATCATGGGTCCCTTGATTCTATACTTGAGCATCATCGGTCTATTTTTATCATCCGTAATTTTTACTATAAAACTTTTGAGTTTATGGTTGACTAAGGAAATTACTGTCCATCAAATTTGGTTTGAGAGACTACCCAGTCTCCTCAAAACAAACAAGATCGAGAAGCAAAACATCCAGCGAGGACGATGAAGCCTCCAGTTACGGCAGAAATTCAATCAACCTCAGCCGTTCGACAAAGATTCTAAATTTTCTAAAAATTGTAAAATGGTGCTTAGCCATTTTGCTATTTATACTCTGACGTTAAATCTTCTGAATGCGCAGAATAGCTCCTGGACAGTCAAAGGACATACTTGGACAAACTTCTCTTTAATTAAGCAGAATTTATTCTTCAATTCCTTCAGATATTATTTCTCATCCTTGCATCGAATGGTTTCATTGTTTTTCATACAAATCCTAACTTTACAGCAAGGGGCAACCTGATGTCTCAAAGGTCACATCTCCTTGAGGAGGTGCACAACATCCTCGTGACTTGAGTACAGGGCCACTCATTTGTTTCCGGCAGCACAAGCTGAAACATCCCTTCCTACATAATTGCACGAGGCAGAGACTTTAATGACAGATAAGTTATCATAGCCTTCTATTACAGACATGAATGCTTTTGAAAAGTATTTCAATAACATTACAAATTGAATTGCATGCACAGCTCACCGATTCCGAGGTACTACTTACCCTATTCTTATATCAAAACGTGACATTCGCATGCTTACTTCATTTTATGCCGTGCACAATTCTTATATGCTCACCAAGGGTCTAACTACCCTATTATTAGAACGACCAATGTTTTGTCTAAGGTGAATAGCTATGCAAGCATAGCTCGATTTTTCGAGGGACCAAGGGCACATACAGCCTCCTCGACTAATTTGAAAAGAGATAAGTAGCCATAAACTTACTGGTACCATGTTACCGTATTGGACTTCTATAACGAATACAATTCGGGTTATGCTTTTTAAATTACACAGTGCATCCCTTGACGTAATCTAACGAAATGTGTACAGTTACAATAACCTGCCTGAGCGTAGCGCAGTTGTATTACTTGGTTTTGTAGGTCTTACAATAAGATAATTCGAGTAGCATCCTTCTCGAATCACGAAGCAACCCATTCCAAGGGGCAATGACCTGCTCGAAAAGGGAGTTCTTTTTGCTGAACTTGCAAAAGCGAGAGACGAAGATAGCTCCTCCGTGACACAAGAGTGTAATCAAGCCACAGTAGCCTCCAATAACTAGAGGACCAATACACGTTGCTTCTCAAGAATGAGCTCCCTCGAGGAGTCTCTCGACAAATGGGTATTACTACTCTAACTTGTGGATATCCCTGGAAGAGTGCCAACATATAAGTGATACGATTTCCTTACAATATTAATTTCTAAATATATGAACATCTACATTACAATATAAATGTCACGATAGTTCATGAGCATGGAATAATTTTTATTATGACACATTAGACCTGTGTGTTTCGTGTCTTCAGTGTCCTCGACCTTTTGCATGCAAACTTCTTGCACGAAAAGCCTTTCTCAGATGCATGATTTATTTACCAATTAATTGTGTCATTGCATATTAGTAATAAGGCATGATGCTACAGCTTTCACATATAATTGACTTTGTTTACTCTTCACACGTAAATGTTTCGACCAATCTTAAAGTCGATAGCTAAGTCATGTTCACTCTCTTTTCTTTTGAAGGGGGTAGATACCCCTCTTGTACTTATAGTTGTCGGTAATATGCTCTAAAGGTCATAATGCAGGATGGTCTCTTTTCTTTGAGCTAGGAGTTGCAATGGATCTTTGTATCTACTCTACCGACCAACTAACGTGAAGTTACTATATTGGGGCCGTAATGACTTTCACATCTGATAGTCCAGCTCCATGGTGAATCTCTATGACTTTTCAGGGGTCTGTAGTAAGTACAAATCCGTGGAGAAGCGTTGCACGATCTCCGCAGCATTATTTCATAGCTGTTGCGAGATAACAAACCATGGTTTCAATAGCCTTGCTCGTATCGCGGTAAGATCTTTCCACTTCTTATATTTTATATCTCAAAATGACTGTTTTTGAAGGGGATAGACTCTCCCAATACTATATTGAATTCCATGTCATTTCTTGTACTTACATAATTTATTACTCACTAATAAATCTATAAGTGCATGAGTAGGTAATTTGTCAGGATCAGAGAACTATGGTGGTTTATCATGGTGACTGTGCTCGAGAGGCATTACCATCAGAACACTACATCCTCGACATCATCAAAGGATTCGGATGAATTCTTCCCACTAAAACAAGGTACGCTCGAACCAGCCTTTGGGTGTGCATCTTTGATCAAGAAGAACGACATATTACACTTGAGTGTTTTCATGTGCTTATTAGTTGAATTTCACCATTTTTACATAAGCATGTCATCCTTATACTTGCAATACATGTCTCGGACTAAGTTGTAGGATAAACGTACCCCGAGACCTTTGGGGCACAATAAGCAGAGATACGTAACTCTCATAGTTGATCCCTCGAGGATAACAGCATCGTCACGTTCGCTCTGACCTTAGGGTGTTTATGTTTTAAACCCAGGATATAGACTACTGGTCCAATGCACATAGTGGTAACCCACTCGAGTACTCATGGGAGCTGTTATATCTCATATACATAGTTACACCCAGTTAAACATGACTAGTCATTTGAACGGATATCCGCTTCAGGATCGTCCTTCGAAAGACATTCTCTTCAGAATTGTCTGTATTCGAGGAGCTCGTATCCAGTTTCTTCGAGGATATTTTCTTCAGGATCGTCCTTAAAAAGACATTCTCTTCAGAATCGTCTATATTCGAGGAGCTCGTATCCAGTTTCCTTGAGGATATCCTCTTCAAGATCGTCCTTAAAATGACATTCTCTTTAGAATCATATATACAAAGGTATCCTCTTCAAGATCGCCTGCAAAAGAGCCGTGTACTCAATATCCGACCATTATAAGCGCTTTACAAATAACTCATAAGCCGTGTATTCGACATCCGGTATTGAGAAAGGCCTAGATTGTCATATTCATGAACAAGGGATGGACTACCCCTCAAACCTAAACACACACGTTTTATACCTCAATGAGAACTAGACTTGTTCTCGAGTATACTTCCTTGGATCGATCTATCATATCATCCAATACATCAGAATGAAAATGACTTTATTCTCGATGTTCTTGAATTCACTTTGTGCCTCGTTAATACAGGCCTATTGCTTCTGTAAGGTGGTTACCATCCATCTCCTTCTGATAGACGCCATTTTATTGCCTTAAACCTACGAGTATGGGGTCTTCTTGATCATGCACCATCTCGAACAGAGTAGCGGAAATTACACTTTCCTGTAAAAGTCTCGGTCTGCCAAATGCTATCCCAAGACTTGGGGGCTCCGAGATGAGTAATGGCTCTGGAGTTATCTATAACGAGGAACGTTTATATATGGGAGATTGTAAGGCGTCTAGAAAGTATGTAAGGTGTTTGAAGGTGTTTGGGAGGTTGTGTTTCTGTTTTTTTTGTGATGATCTTGGGTCTACGGATCTCTTCCTATGACTTTCTCGACGGTTTTCAATTAATGCTCAGACTGAGGCATTGTTTCTTCTTACACTAATGCATAAAACCTCCTCGATTCTTGCTCGAGTCTCGAGCAATGATATTATGAATCTTCTCGGATTTGACATATCAACCTGATTCATACTTCTCAAATCCGGACTAAGGGTTCTATTCTTTATTTCTCGGGACGTGAGAAATGGCAAGCGGGTCGGTTGGGTGGATATAAATCAGCTTAAATGCTTGTGTACCTTCTTCAAGGTCGGATAGTTACAATTCTCGAGTTTTGTCTGGAGTTCTACTCGAGAGAATCTTCTCGAGTCTCACTATCCCTGCATTGACGTAATCACATGCGGCATCTTCTATGGTTTCTTCTACTCTCTATGATCCCTCCTCGACAATCGAGGATTTTTATGGTGAGAATCTCTACTCTCTAATGCTGGATCACACTTGAGGTGGTCTTCTCGAGTCTTCGAATTTATTAACAAGAGGTCATATTGGGGCAAGTTCTCGTCGTGCAAGTCGACCCAGACAATATTCCTTCTCAAACTTATGTCCTCGACATCGAGTATCTTCATGCTTCTCGATCCACTACTCTGTGGACGTTCTCAAAGGTTTGGGTCTATTACCTCGATCAGAAGCATGTCATAGTTCTCCAGTAGACTCCTCACCTCGAAAGTTGATATATCTTAGCCGCTGTTAATTACACAAATTTTGAGACTAGTGGGAATCTCCACTTCGTTTCTTTCTCGATTCTCTTAACGAGTGGGGTGCCTGTTTTGATATTTCCCTAGAGCATAACGTGAAAGTCATCGTGCAAGGCCTTCTCGACTAACGCCTAGGTCAATGACGTGAATTGCAATCTTCAAATGGATTCTTCGTTCCGGCAGTCGTTGTATCTTCGAAAGTTATTGATAACGCATATCTGCATTCGGGGTAATGGGAATCTCCATTATACTCCTTTATTACATTCTTAAGCAACGGGGTATCTGTCTTAGTATCTCCATGGGGCATCTTATTAAGGTCATCACCTATCGACTTCTCACTCAAAGGCTTGAACTGATGACTCTTCTTTCTTTATGAATTGGCGTAAATGTCAATCGCCCTTTATAACACGTACATTCGACAAGGTACGCGCTGATGCTTTCATTGCTTTGATTTCTCCTCGATGCTAATCTGTCACAGGTTCTCGATTCAAGTTAATTCTTCCCAAACTTGAGGAAAATTTATACTCCATGTTATCAAGCCTATCCTATCTTCAGACTCCAAAGTATAGGCTTGATAAGGGGCACTTGACGAGTCCAAATAGTACGGCCTGCAACTAGGCCGGCCCAAGTTCGGTAAAAGGTCTAACCGACTTCTGGAAGTTTCTATGCCGATTCTTAATTACTTTCCTACTAAGAAAGGGTTTCATAACCTAACTCTATAAATAGGGATTAACCCCTCGCATCAAAGGTACGCTCTACGCACCACAATCCATACCCTATTACAATTACTCTTACTGACTTAAGAATCGGAGTGTCTACCCTCGGGAGACCCCGAGGCCCTCTTTTACAGGTTTTAGAGTTTTGACTCCGCCATGGCCGCCGGTTCAACCAATCGGAGACATTGGTGCAGATCCATGCTTCGTCACTGGCAGAATTTCTTCCAAATCGATACCTACTAGGATAACAACAGTTAACAACTTACTGCTGAGAAGTTTGGTTAATACCGCTTCAGATGGCGATTTCTTCTTCCCAATGTTAATTATGGATCGAACGTTCATAATATAATGTTGGCATTCTGGGCTAATGATGATTTCAGGGAGATTATGGTGAAGTACAAGTCTACGTATCATCTTTCTCGAAGACCATCCTATACTCCTGGTTGCACTAAGTATGGTTACCATGTTTTGCTCCCTTGATGGCTAAAAATTCATATAAGAGATCATGAATGAAGATATCATAATCTAAGCCATTAGAAAGTACCTCATTCAGTTGGATTAGGCTTCTGTTTGCAAGTTCTTTGAGATAATCCCACGAAACTTCTTCTGCAGTTTGTCCTGTTCTTGGTCCCACAAACTGTTCAGCGATCCACAAATGAACCAGATAGCGACATGATTGTAACGTAGGGCAAGTATTCTTTTCACCCTGTCAAGGAGTTCATCCCCTAGCCTCTGTAGAACAAGCTCCCAATCATTTGTTCTGCTTGAGTCTTTTGAAGCTAAAAGACCCGCGGTCGCGATGACAGCCAAAGGCAAGCCTACACACTTCCCCACAATTCTTTCTGCAATGCTCTTTAGATGGGTTGGACAGGTTTTGTCCTTGAATGTCTTCTGGCAAAACAGTCCATGATTCCTCAGAGTTCAAGAACTTCATCTTGTAAACATAGCTGTGAAACTCTATGTTGGATGCAGAGGCTACATCAGCAATCCGTGTCGTGAGAAAAACGCGATTGCCATAATCGTGATTGTCAAGAAGCACACATTTAAATGCGTCCCGAAATTCTCTACTCCATACATCATCAATCACAATTACATACCTTCCTCGTTTGAGAAAGTTCTTCGAAAGTGCTCTCAGCTGATAAATGTTCATCGAATCCAGCATTTGTGGGACTCTTTCCTTGATTTGAGTCATTATTTCTATAATCAACCCTTTCAGGAGTTCATGAAAGTCACACGTTCGTGAGACAGTAACCCAAGCACGGATTTGGAAATGGCTTTTCACAACTGCATCATCAAAGACTTTTTTAACCAGGGTAGTTTTCCCGATCCCTCCCATTCCGAGCACCGCAATAACTTTGATTGAGTGTTCAACATCAAGGAGCTCAGAAATAAGGTGATTTTTTGGCTTTTTGGTGCCCACCAGATGAGCTTCTTCGACGAGAAGTGCCTCCTCATCTGTACTATGCCTCCAGGCATTGTTCGCAGTAAGATTCCCTGAATCTTTAGCATAATGTGGTTCATACCTAAGACGTGCTTCAGAAATATTTTTGATTCGATCCTTGAGATCTTTCAACTTGGAAACAAGTCGATGACGGTCAGACAAACTCCTCACGGACTTGAAAATCCATCCCTCAGGGCGACGGCTGGCAAATCGAAGCTTGTATACATCGAGAATGTCTTCAGTGTCATGAGAAACTTCTCGCACTTGTCTGATCCATTCAGCGAGCTGAGGATCATGATCTTCTTGATTAACATCTGACACTTTCTGGAGGAAAGCCTTCATATGACCAAACTCATCACTGATGAGTTGGACCTCTTGTTGAAGTCCTTCAAGAAACCTCCCCTCTTCTCTCGGAAATTTTGTGAGCTTGAGTCCCAGAATAGATAAGACTTCTGCCATCTTTTAGCTTTTTCTCTCTTTTCCTCTTTCAGTGAAGATTAGTTGGAGTTGTGATGATCATGGAACAGAGAAAATATAAAAGTGAAAAGACAGCAAGGTCAATGATCCGACAAGTATTGTTCAAGGGATTGATAAACTTGTGTTTCTTATCGTATGGGCATTAAAATTGACGAAGATCTCCAATAATCAAAGTGTTTTTCTTGCCGTCTTTCACTACTTTGTGGTCCTGAAAATGAAATCATCCTTGCTCTGCTCCTTAGTTTCTACAGTGATCTCATATGACCCAGTCCATCCTTGTATATTAGAGTGAAATCGTCATTTTTTGATTGTCGATTATCCAAAAGAATTTTCTGTGCAGCGAAAATAGGGCATTTTAATTTACCATTTGTGTAACTTTGAAAGAACAGTAACCATAAGATGTCAGAGACATGGCGAGAAAATGATCGATTTGACCCAAACCTTCTGCCACTAGCCAATTTAACCTCGCAACAATTTTCGGAAATCAATTTCATCTAGTTTCACTTTTTAGCCAATTTCGTCCAATATTTGTTAATTTTTAACCTTGCTAATCATAGGATCTCGTCCAGCTCGATACTTAGTTAACTAATAAAATCATGGAGCTGCATGATTTAATTCGAAGATGAAAGAATTATGATATTTTATGTCATTATACCTTTAAATATAATGGGGGAATAGATGATCAATGGAGAATTCCAAGAAAATGCGCCCTCCCTTTGAAAAAATGATCATCATGTGATATAAAAAATTACCTTAAATTTACCAGGTAACATGTCAAAGCTTTTCTGGTACCAAACAAGTCAAGCTGGAGGAAAAAAGACCCTCACTTCCGAAATCCCACCCCTTAATCTATCCTTAAAAGAATTGATCATTATTGCAATAAGCTGTACAACAGGAAACAGGGTGTTTACAGCATTCAAAACACCACCACCGATGAACGGTAACTCCACCAAAGTTGGTTTTTGCACTGAAAATACAGCCAAGAGTTTTCATTAATATTGATTACCCGACGTGGTGAGAGGTTAATAAGATAACAGGTGGTACTAAAATTTCATCCCAAAATTCGATCGGTTAGTCAAGGGAGCAAAACCAACTTCAACTATGTATCTATGCTTTCTTTTCAATTGCCTGAACCAGTTTGTTGATATGCATACTTGTGTTTGAGAATGATTTTGTGAAATTTTTGGTATTCACCACCCCCAGATATGTATGTTTACATGCTCTTTATTTTCCTTCCAAATATAAGGTTCACCATATGATTTTGAAACTGTCAAAACACGCGTTCAACATCAAAATTTGCAAGCTAATTACACACCCATGTGAACTTAAAATCACCATAATATTTGTGACCGCCAGCAGATTTAGGTGCTGGTCTCAAACATATGAAAATACAAGTTCCAAAGGAAATATTACTAGATTTTAGAATAACTCAACTACAGAAGAGAAGTGACTAATGGGCTCACCTCTTAGTCTTGTCTACCTAACAAAAATTGATATACAAGGCAAGACAATGATCCAGTAAACCAGAAACAACAGATTATCGAATTTCACGGCTAAAATTGATAGACAGAACATGACAAAGCTCCAGTAAACCAGAAACAACAGATCATCGGAGTTGATGACTTTGATCTCAATCTCCTGGTGGGAAAGAAACATCTGAGCTTGGGGAAGCAAGTAGCAGTAGAGCAGGAAGGCATGATGGAAAAAAAGCAGGGAAACGAATCCTAAGGGGGAAGAAACGCACAGAGAAGAAGCAAAACAGACGGCTTCAATATTCCTGAGATATAGTTGAGGTCCAAAGCGAGGAACCCATGGAGTTTCCTTCGTCCAGGACAGCCGGTGAGATCTCCATTGCCCGTCTACCTGGAAGCCTATGGTCACCTGAGGAATGTGTGAGATTTTTCTGCTGTAATCACTTTCTTTTGCAGCGGCCGCTGCGTTTTCCAACTTGTTTGTGAGTTCAGAATTCACAGCCAACAATTCCAGCTTTTGAAGCTGTTTCAAGTTTTCAATACCAACAGGTAACTCCTCCAGCATTGGAAGGTCTTCCATGATCAGCTCATTGATACCCGGCATTGCACCTTTCTCGACTTTGATCCGTTTCAATCCGTTCATACCTCTCAACAACAATTCCTTGAGCTTTAGAAAACATCCAGCCTTGAAGCATAAACTATCTCCTTGATAGGCTTCAACGAGTCTAACCTCAAACAAGTTGGGTAAGTGTTGAAGTGTTTCCAGCGGATCTGCAGTTAACTTACTGAAATACAATGATATTCTTTCCAACCCTTGGAGATTTATTGTCCATGGCGGGATCTTTTCTAGTGAGCCAAACAATTCGAAGAAACAAAGGTTTCCAAGAGACGAGGCAGATATAGGATGAATTAGATCCAAAATAATTTCCTCCTCTTTTTCACCCGAAGAAGTGACAACTAGTCGCTGCAGGTTAGTTAGCTTCTCAAGTGATGAGCAGAGCTCCTTTCCGTCTTCCCTTCTTAAGTTTTTAATCCACAGCTCTCTTAATTTTGTCAGTTTCCCGATTTCACTCATGAGCGTTCCGGCCTTATCCTCCTCCTTCCCTGCATCTATGATGCGTAATGTTTGCAACTCAAGAAGCTCGCCAATTCCATGTGGAACTTTGCATCCATTATATAAAAATTCTAGACTCAATGGATCAGCAGCTCGTTGAAAAAACACCAGGTGGCGAAGCTTGTGAAGCTTTAGGATTTCTACCGGCAATTCCTTCACGTTAGTTTCTTCTAGCCATAAACACTCCAGATTTTGAAGCCTTCTGATGGATTTTGGGATTGTTTCAATCTTATTCCCACCAATGGCTAAATGCTTAAGCTGATACAATTTGAAAATCTCTTTTGGAATTTCTTCCAAGTCAATATCCATTAGGTCAGCTATTGCTAACAATTTGCTCGTTAAAAGCTTGGTTAATACAGCTTTAGATAGTAGCGTTTTTTCCCCCCCAAAAAAAATTATGGATCGAACATTTCCAATAGAATGCCGGCTTTCTAGGCTAAAGACCGTTTCAGGCAGATCATGATGAAACACAAGCCTAGTTACCACCTTTCCAGCTCTTCCTGTTGGCTGTGTAACATCACTATATATGGTCACCATATTTTGTTCTCTAGACTTATAGGCTAAAAATTCTCTCAGAAGGTCATGAATATGAAAGTCAAAGTATAGGCCATGAAGAGATACCTCATTCATTTGGATCAAGCTCCTGTTTGCGAGTTCCTTGAGATAATCCCATCCAGCTTCTTCAACAGTCTGTCCTTGTCTTGGTACCACCAACCGCTCAGCGACCCATAAGCAGATCAGATACTTGCAAGATATCCTAGTATCTTCAGGATAGATGCTGGTGTACAAAAGACAAGCCTTGAGTGTAGGCGATAGATCATCATAACTCAAGGAAAGTATCTTTCTCACCCTGTCAAGCTTTCCAGTTCCCTCGAATTCATCCCCAAGTCTATGGTGAACTAGCTCCCATTCATTTATCAGGCCTGAGTCTTTTGCAGCCAAAAGACCACCAATTGATAGAATAGCCAATGGTAGGCCTTCGCACTTCTCCACTATGCTTTCTGCAACGTCGCGAAGATGGGGAGGACAAACCTTGTCCTTAAATGCCCTATGGCAAAACAGAGTCCAGGAGTGTTGAAAGTTGAGGAACCCCATCTTGTAAACATAACCGTGAGATTCAGCGCAGAAGGCAGAGGCTACATCAGCTTTCCTCGTCGTGACAATGACGCAATTGCCACTAAAGCGGTTCTTTGGGAACACAAAGTTGAATTCATCCAAGAGCTCTCTATCCCATACATCATCAAACACGATCGCGTACCTCCCTTGTTGGAGAGACGCCTTCAAAGATTCTTTCAACCCATAAGTAGTACTATCCATTGAATCCAGCATTGGCGGGACTGGTTTCTTAAATTGGACAAATACTTGTTGAATCAATCTCTTGAGGAGTCCCTGGAAGTCCCACGTTTTGGACACAGTAACCCAAGCACAGATCTGGAAATGGCTCCTCACAGCTGCATCCTCATAAATTCTTTTAACCAGAGTGGTTTTACCGAGGCCCCCCATGCCGAGCACCGAGATGAACTTAAGTGGGTGCTCGGCTTTAAGGATCTCGGAAATCAGGTGATGTTTTGGCCGGTCGATGCCAACGAGTTGAGATTCTTCGGCTAGAAGTGCGTCATCATCTTTTCTATGCCTCCAACCGTAATCATCATCACCTTTCCCGGAAACATGAAATGCTGAATCTCGAAGAAGAACATGGGAATATTGTGATTCGTACCTGAGACGTGAATCAGAAATGTTTTTGATTCGAGCCTTGAGATCATTCAACTTGGAAGCAAGCCGATGTCGAGCAGACAAATTCTTAATGGATTTGAAACTCCGTTGAATAGAGTCGCGGAATCCACCAGCACGATATCCAGCGAAGTGAAACATGAATTCATCAATAATGTCTTCAGTTTCGCAGGAAACTTCCCTGACTTGCCTGATCCATTCGGCAAGCTGAGGATCGTGAACTTCTCCGCCGGAATCCGACACCTTCTGGAGGAAGGACTTCATATGACCAAACTCATCGCTGATGAGTTGGATCTCAAGTCGAAGTCCTCCCAGCAAGCTTCCCTCTTCACTCAGAAATGTGTAGAGCTTATTTGATGTAAATTCCACCAGTGGTAATGCTTCTGCCATTTTTTTGGATCTTTTCGCTTCTCTTCCAGTTTAGCAAACTACTTTGGAGTTACGTTTCTCGAAATGTTTTTGCATTTGGATGCTCAAGAAATTTAACTGATGTAAATTTGTGTGGTGAATTTTATACAAAGATGTGCTCCTGCCACGAGATGTGCTCGTCTGTAGGCTTCGTTTATTATTATACCAAGCAATAAGGTGTTGATTCTGTGATAAAAATCAGTCTCGTTCTCACGAAGAAGTCTTGAGTTTAAAGATTGAATTTGGCAAATATATACATAAATCTTTGATTTTGCACCCCAATCCTGCCTAGAATTACTTACCGTATCTATATATATATATATATATATATATATGCCCCTCCAATATACTTCTTGGTGAAATTATATATTCCTTCCAGTCTTTATAATAAATTATTTTAATTTGTCATAAATTTCATCTATTATGTTCTTCTAATTAAAAATAAAATTTTAAAAATGTATTTTTACATTTTCTATGTTATTTCAAGGCATTTTGATTTCTAAGTTTTATTCAATATGTTTTTTTAATTGAAAATAAAATCTTAAAATATTTTATAATGCTTAATATTTTTAAGGTCTTATTTTCAATTAAAAGAACATATTGAATAAAAGTTACAGATCAAAATGCCTTGTAATAATGACCGGATAAAGTATTATATTTTGGTAAACAAGATGGTTTCGGCACCGTTCTTGGTGAAAATAAACAAGATGCTTCTCTAGAAAGCTTTATCGTTTATATATATTATCATCGCTACTATCCCTTTTATATACCCTATTAAAGCAGAAAACATGATGCTGATGTGGCAATTTCTTATTAAAATGTTTTGGCTCCAAATGCACCATATTGCATAAATCATTCTGCCACGTGTCATCCCCTTTTAAAAACAAAAAATATATTTACAATATTAACGAAAAGATCAGATGACCATGTTCATTCAAATTTTGAATTTGACAGTGAATGAAACTTTCCTTCTCCACTTATTTAGGACTTTCAAAAAAATTAATTTTCGGTCAATCAATTATCTTCATAAAAAACTAAATTCATTCGTAATTAGTTTTGATTATTTACATATCAATTTATTAGGTGGGAGGACGTCCCCGGGCATTTGCCAGGGACAAGCATCTAGTTATATTTTTAAAACAAAGCTTCTTTTCTTCTAATATTTAAATTTAAAAGACAACCATTTATACTTTACTTGATACTCTTTTAAGACAACAACGGTACGTTTTCTCCATACGTTTTTTCCATTTGGGGTTTGGCTTTGGGAGTTGATTTTGCTGAGACATGATTGTATGAAACCGGTTCCACAAAGATTCTTCATGTATCTTTTCGTATAAGTAGATACTCCCTTTGTTCTAAAACCAATATAATCTAAAACGTAGACTAGGACGAGTATAAAAGAAACTAATCTTCGATTCCTTATTTCTATAGACTTTTTCTTTTCTTCATTTCTTCCTGGATCTGAAGCATGGTATATTTGCACTTTGAGCAAACATATGGAAAATTCATCAACGAGTGCATCACGTTTGTGAGGTTAAATTTCTATAACTGTCAGATGGCTTTTGATGAATCTTGGCTTTCAGAATCATGGTTTTGAAACGTACTTTTATCAACGGATTTAGTTGGTAATCTTAAAATGATCAGACAGATTGACGAGTAAGAATAGAGGAATAAGAGAGAAATCCAAGAGTTAAGTGTTGGTTCCATTTTTTGATAAGACGAAACAAGACGTTGTATTGTTTGTTTGTACTCTCTTCATCTCAAAATATAGTATAAATTGTAGTTGGTGATTTATATTAGAAACAACATAACTCAATCCTAAATAAATAATGATATATAAGGCTAAAAATTATAACAGAAAATGACAGAATGATCATACTTTTTATTTTTAAAACTTTCTATATTGGGTTTATTCATTTTAGAGTTGGGACATGATTTAGATGATTGATGCATCATTTATTGTAACTTTTTTTATAATTTTTTCTTTGCATGTATTATTATGCATTACAAATTACAACGTGAGATTATTTTTTTTGTGACAGAGAAAGTATTTTATAACAGGAAATAAAAAAATTTACATGGACATAGAATAAACTTGTTTGCTGATATTGCGATTCTATATTCCACATTCTATACTTTATCTTATCAGAAGCTTGACAAATACTAAAGGTTCCATTATCAATATTTTTCTTAATGAAGACTCATTTCCTTTCTTATAGGTGGAACCTTTTTGTTCAAAACTTTTGGTGTATCATATAATCATAAGTATGTAATTCAAGGATGATCATTTGAAAAAAAAGAAAAAAAAACTGAATGGTCACTGAAAAAAAATCTAAACAATCATAAAAATGACTGAATGATCATGAAATATAAACTAAATAATTATTTTTTAAAAAAAAAAGCAGACGTAATTATCATAAAAGATAAAATGCACTTTTGGTCCCTAAATTATGGGGGTCACAACTTTTGGGGGGCTTTTCCCAAAAAAAATTAAATAAAATAAACGTGGACAAATTTAAATTTTTCAGAATATCTGTGGACAGAAATATATTGCTCGGATTTCTGAAATCCGAGTTTTGATTAATATTAGAGATTCGGATTTTGTAAATCCGGATCCATACTTAATAATAAAATAATAATTTCATAAATTTTGTTGAATAATAGTTTTTTTAGTTCTTTAATGAACAGTAAAGCTCGGATTTGTAGAATCCGAGTTTAGTTAAAAATTAATAAATCGCGGCGCGAAATTTTTGAATCCAAAAAACCGGAAGTCCGTAATCCGGTTTGACGAATTCGGATTTTAGAAATCCGGATGCCTTTAATTTTGGTTGGTGGAAGTAGGCATGTGCCTTAAATTGGAGGACCAACAAATTAATAAAATAATCTTGAATTGACTAAACTCGGATTTATGAAATCCGAATCTAACACAGTTCGGATTTCGAAAATCCGAGTTCGTAAATCCGAGTTTAACGTGCTATAAAAGAAAAAAAATTTCAGGCAGTTCTCATTCGAGAACTGAGTTGGATTTTCTGTTTTTGCAGCTCAAACAAGGGCGAATTGAAGTTTTTGATGCATTCTTGCCTCTAGATACGTGGAAATCATTATTTGAAAGAGGTTAGATTGCAAAACCATGTTTTTTAGTTTATTTTTGTGTTATGTTGATTGTTAGAATGATGTATGATAGATTAGGGTTTATGTTGGTTGGTTGTTTGGATGTTTTAGGTGTTGATTTTGAGGTTAGAGATGAGAAATCGTAGTTGTTCATGAGATATCGAAGTTGATTAATAAGTATTTTAGTATGGTGTATTTGTTGGAGTATGTATGGTGTATGGTGTATGGTGTATTTTAGAGAATGTATGGTGTATTTTGTTGATTTTGTTATTAAGAAATGATTAGTTATTGATGTTTTTTTTAACAGTTATCAATGGCACGTAATGTATCATACATGCTTAATTTGTATCATACAAGTAAGTATGTGATAGAGAACGGTAGCATCAACACTTTTTCGAATATGCCGGATGATGGTTTGTTTGTCGAAGAAAGGTTGTCATATGAGGGATTGATTAGTAAGATTTGTATGACCCTTGGTTGGGATCCAGCACACGTGAAACTCCACCTTTCTTTGATTTTCGATAGTCCCGGTGGTAGGCGTGTAGTGAAGATCAAGAATGATTTGCATGTAGAGTTCATGAACCGTGTAGATCCAATGTCATGTTTGGATTTATACATAGATTTGGAAGATATCACTCAAGAAGAAAGAGAAGCGAGTTTGGAAAACGTGTCATTTGGTGATTTTCGAAGGGGGGAACGTGCTAGTACTTCTCGAAACCGTGATGAAGAGGAGACACCTTTATTTGCACAAAATGACTACCGGGAAGAGTTGGATTCCGACTACATAGCTCCAAGTGAAAGCGAAGAAGACTGTGATGTCTCATGTGTAGTGCTGGGGAACTGGGAAGGGATTGTAATCTATTCGCCCGACGCCATGTATATAGTAAGATGGGGAACTGGGATGCCTCATGTGTAGACAAGGATGAGTTTGCTCTTAAGATGTGGGATGAGACGCCCGAAGGAATGGACATTGGTGTTTGTTTCAAATCTCAATCAGAAGCAAAGCATGCTGTGAAATTATGGAATATCCATCATAAAAGGGAATATACGGTCGCCGCGAGTAGTCCAAGGATGTGGGTTGTGCGGTGCAGAACATTTAATGTGGAAAGTGAGGATGGTGAACCACCATGTGAGTGAAAGATGCGTGTGTCATTGAAAGCTCACGGCCTTCATGAAATTGTGAGATGGCATGATGCACATAATTGCATGACTCCTGTGAATGATAATGACAATCGGTGTATGGACGCGTCTTTGATTGCTGGACTCATCAGGAGAAAGGTTGAGGACAACGTAGATTATACGGTAGACTCGGCACAGAAAGATGTGAAGACCTTATTGAAAGTAGATGTGCCATACAAAAGGGCGTGGCACGGGAGGAGGAAAGCCATAGAAGCGGTCTATGGTGATTGGACCTCCAATTTCGAAGAACTTCCACGGTAAATATCAACTTTTATCCGTGTATTGAAATATTTATAGTATTTTTATTTTTACATCTATTGAAATATTTTAACAATGACTTGTTGTTGTTTAGGTATATTGCTGCGCTTAAGTTTACTAATCCTGAGACTGTAGTAGAGTGGGAATGGAAGGAGGGACAAGAAGGTTGGAACAGGGGAAACCGGACATTTAAATACGTCTTCTGGTCATTTGCACCGTGGTGAGACGTTTTTGAATGTCCACCGGTCATTTGTATCGATGGAACCTTTTTGCGTGGTGGATACAAGGGTAAATTGCTTGTTGCGGTGGTGTATACCGCAAACAAACACATTTTACCGGTTGCATTTGCGATTGTTGATGAGGAGACAGTAGAGAGTTGGACATTTTTTATGAGGAATTTGAGGTTGTGGGTTGTGTATGATAGAATCGTAAGTGTGATATCCGACCGGAATGCAGGGTTGTTGAGCGCAATGTCACAGATGGATGAATGGCGTGATTTAGGTGATGGTGGGCACTTTCTTTGCCTCCGCCACGTTCGCAGCAATCTTGTGTCGCGATATAATAGCAAAAAGGTGAAGCGGTTATGTTGGAAGATGGGCACGACGCTTTCAAGAGTGAAATACAACCGTATGAGGGTAGAGCTTATTGAATTCAAACCTGCTGCATGGGAGTATCTTCGAGGGATTGGGGGGAGTAACTGGGCTCGATTGAAAGCCGGTCTTCGCCGTTGGGGCATAGCGACAACCA